CTCTCTCTCTCTCTCTCTCTCCGAGCACCCGACCTTCGAACCCACAGCAGACGTAGCAGTTCGAGCGAGCACAGAAGACATTGCTGGAGCCGCTCTTCTTGTGACATGTGCTTGTTCTGTGTTTGATGATAGTGAAGTTGTTTTGGCTAAACTAAGTCTTCACGCTGTTTGGGCAGACATGGAGACCAGACTGGCACCAGGCCATGTTTTGTAAGGGACGAACTGTCGTTGCCTTCTTTGGGGTATGTCAACGGACTTGCAGCCAGCATCTGCGCATCAACATGAAGGGTCACGCATGTGAGACAGATTGCGAAAGATCTTGCGAAGCCGACAAAATTCATCAGACGATTCACTGCCTGTAAGTCGCAGCACCTCTATGACACTGTAGCACCTTGCGCAAAATGGCGGGGCTTTGTGCAGCAAGACCAGCAAGACGACACTCCGTCATGTCGAGGATCCAAACTGCTTCAACCTCCAAGGGGATTCGGCTCTTCTACAAGCAGCACGACGTGGGCACTCGGGCATCTCGGAGCGAGGGTGTTTCATGGAGGCTTGGGGGGTGGAAGCCGTGACAAACAAAGTCTACACTGTACCATCCTACACCCAAATAATGAACCAGCCCTAATGTTTGATCTGATGATGCTAGTTGGCCTGACCCTGAGATGCGATCGGATCCTATCGGATCCTAAACCAGTCAGAGTTTGTGAAAGCAGGGGACTGGCCGATTTCTGTTGGCACTGGCGACGTCGCTTCTTATAGGTTGTATTTGCATGGGTTCCCATGCCTATCCTGTGCCAGTACTCCGTGTTTTTGCCCATTCCGACCGCCAGAGGCCAGTCCCATCTTGAGGGCATACAACGTAAACGGGCTTGGGGAGTTGATTTTGGGAGTTTGGACTTCGCGGTGGCAGCCTGCACCTTGTAAATACTTCCTCCTGTGGGCCTGTTTTGCTGGTGCTTTTCGCTCAACGCAGTAGCAGTTCTCGGTTTGGGAGGGAAGGGCCCCAAATGCCCAAAACTCCTGTCCGAAAATGGTTCAGGGGTCTATGAATCCTAACGAGTTGAATGGCCCTAAACTTCGGGGAGGACTTGTGGTTAGAGTAATTCGAGGCCTTCAGGGCTTGTGCTTCGGCGTGCAGTTTGAAGTCTATCTGCTTGAGACGTGGCGCGAGGATAGTCAGCAACTTTGCAGTGTTCCCAGGTCCGTGGTTAGACCTCCGCGCCTAGGCCCTGAATTTTAAAGGCGCTAAGCCGTAAATCCTAAGCTCCCAGGCCCTATCCCCGGACCCTGCAGAGTTCGTAGCTCGGAGCGGGTCACTGGGAGACAAGGCCCTGAGCAGCACCGAAGCAGTTGGGGGCTAAGGCGTGGTGGAAATGCTGTGCCAAGCGAAGGCCGCCTTAGACACGGAAGCCACTCGTTTCCTTTAGACCCTAGCTTCCCAAGTGATGCAAAGAGGGTTCAGGGCTTTAGATCTGCGGGGTGTTGTGGGGTGCATGCACATAAAAGATCTCCAGGGGTTCAAAAAAGCTTTGGATCCGAAACTTTCCATGGTTGCCAGGCTGGAATGGTTCGTTTCGTACTGTCAGCACACCCTGGGCCATGACATGTCCGTACGTGTCATGAGATCAGATCCATCAGATCTCTGGGAAGTGAGGATGCTGCCTGCCTGCCTGTATGCCTGGTTACCAGCCTACCCACTTACGCACCCATCCTACCCTGCCTGATGGATTGTCATCGTGACTTTTTGAGCGCAGTCTGAAGATGTAACGAGTGGCACAGCGATGGAGACCCGGCAGTAGCCCACCTTGGCATGCCCTCGATTTCCCAGCCCTCGCGCGACCTCAAGAAGGATCTGTAAATGGAAGGACGCCCATTTTGAGGTCCTTCAAAAAAGGAAACCTAATTTGAGAAAGCCGCCGGGAGAGGACAGGCTCATGTGAACCCAGGTTCTGACCCACTTCAACCGCACTTGATCTCGCCGAGGATATGCAGGGCAAGATGCCCCTCACTGTGGCTGCGCAGTGCAACCACCTGGAGGTTCTTCGCCTCTTGCTGGGCGCGCGGGCGAATTCCAACTTGAAGGACCACGAGGCGTCCGAAATCCCGCTACCCCACCAAAGACAGGTCGCCAAGTTGATTTTGGCCCGGGGACATGGCAGGGCTCAGACGAAGGGGGCGCGAACCCCCCAGGCCCAGAAAATCTACAGCAGCCTCAGTATACTCACCCACATAGAACCTGCAATCTCCGTTGCAGTTCCTTCTTGTGGTTTAACCCATTGTATATTCAGGATCCTATAAGTTAACTCCAAAAAAAGGAAAAAAGGGAACTACAATGGGGACTAAAGGTAACCCCTGATGAACTCTTGAAACCTTTGGGTCTGGTCCCCGAAGCAACCTCGGCGGCTGTCATGGATCCGTGCACTGCGAGATGGAAAACACAGGTAGTAACCGTCCTAGTGATAGTGGCATTTATGGTAATATGGAAAAATCCTGAACAATATCCTTTTGCTAGGCTGCTAGCCCGTCTAGTAGTTCGCATAGTGCCCCTTGTAGTAGCCCTTACAGTAAGCTTAGTTAGCTGAAAGTCTTATAGCAATCCTTATAGTCTAGCTGAAGGTCTTATAGCAATCCTTGTAGTAGCTCTTATAGTGTCTTATAGTTGGTAACACGTATAGAAACCGCCATAGTCGGTATAATCACCCTTACCGCAACTTTTAACAGTAACCGCTGCAGCATAACCATTACTGGCCAATACTCGTCTCGTAACCGCTGAGCCTTGTAGTCACTATCATGCAGAACCCAAGGCCGAAAGATACATGTTGTTGTAGTCACTTGGAGTGCTATCCTTGTATCAACCAACATAGTAACCCTTAGCACTTGCAGCCCTGTATCCTTGCAGCACCCCGTCAAGTGGCCCTTCCCACTTGGAGCCCTGAAAGCAACCCTCACAGCAGGCCCTAACTAAAGCAACCCTTGTACACCTTCCGGCTCCTCCTATTCTGGTGCTCTGAAGCCCCTAAACCCTAAACCCTATTCCAAAGGGAAAAACCCTATTATGGTGCTCTGAAGCACAAGAGCTCGTATATGCTTTCATATGGAGGGGATGACCCCGCTGCAGTGGGCGACGCAACATTGCCACCTGCAGGCCAGGCTTGTTGGGAGATTCGTTGGTGCTTTTTATGGCATAGGGTTATTGAGGGTTTAGGGTTTAGGGGCATAGGGTCATTTTTGTCAATGGCTGCTCCTGTGAACTTGTTTGGGGTTGTTGGGCCCGTTTTCAAGGCTCTGGCTGTGGATTGGATGCAGGGCGCATTTGCGTGGATGTTTGTGCGGGGCGTGTGAGCAGCTGGTTGCGAGGTCGTTTTCCCGGCACAGACAGGTCCTGAGATTTCCAGGGCCTTGTGCTGACAGCTCTCGCGCACGTGGTGCTCAGAAGTCTCCTGCAGACCGTGACTCACGCATAGCCGGATAGCAAGATGAGCAGGCATAAAATCGCATCGTCAGCAATGCGCAATGCCCGACCAGCTTAGGAAAGCCAAGGATAAACGGTTGCTCTTCTCACTGGGTGTCAGGCCATGCAGCTGCTGCTGGATGGGGGCGCCGACAAAGATCTGGCCAACGACAGGAGGGAAACTCCGTTGTGTGTGGCAGCCAGCACTTTGACTCTTCATCAGACCGATTAATTAAAGAGCCGGCGCTGCCTTGATATGTCGGTCACAGGGGCGAAAGACGCACGATCCGGGTTTTGGGTAGTCTATGTCACGAAAGGTTCATGGGTGAGAGTCAGAAGGCAACGTGTCGATGTCTCGCGCGATGCGACTCCACCTGCCTGCATGGATTGCATGGAGCAGGCAGCTTGCCCACGGGTTCCCGACAGAGCTCCTTAATGGCTTCGTCAGTTGTCCCAAGCGTATCATCATACGACCAATCCTCATACTTCCCGCCTCCCCCAACTGGAAACCTGCAGCATGACTCTCCTAACATCACCAACATCCTTATCATCGTCTTGCTGATGGTCATCAGCATCGCCGCCACCAGCATGCATTGCCACCACCGCCGCCCCCTGTGTCCAATCACAATCCCTGCTATGCCTGATGGCCCATGACACGCTAGCTAGATACGGGTGTTACCTGTTGGCGCTACTGAGTCTACAGGTCAGACAGGATATGTGGTGTCAGCAGTACTTATGTGCCCGGAAAGCCCAGGCTGTGGCCATGCCGCGGCTGTGCGACTGCTTGTGGCGGCCAGTGCATCCTTTGATCTGACCGACGAGGAAGGCCACACCCCACTGCTGCTTCGGCTGAGTTCGGATTCGGAGGGATGACCCAGTAACTAGATGTGGACATGCAAAGAGGCACAAGGGTGCTAGGATGCAAACAACACTGCGTATTGCAGGCTATAGGCTTCTGTAAATAGGTCCGACCGAAAAGCTGGAGTAAGACTACAAGGCAGATCTAGATTGCGCGGGGGAGTGCGTCAAGGCTGGTAGGATGCAATGATGAAGCCTCAATGCGAGAGTCGGCTCGTATTCACTATGTAAGCTGTGCTGTAGCTGGAACGTTCAGGAATGTCTGGAAAGACGCCTTGTCAGGTTTGAACATCTCTCTTGCAGGGTTGTTGTGATTCTACATCGCCTAGCAAGCGAGACATCCCATCGTCCCGTGCTACGTAAAGACTTGCCCGCTTCAAACATAGGGGGGGAGCCTTGCCTCGCCCTAGCGGCCCTAGCGGTATCCATGTCGTCTTCTTGTTGTCTTAGGCACACTGCGGCTGTGAACAATCAACCGGAAGCTGCACGCGCACTGTTGGAGGCATGTGGGGGCCGGCATTTGGCAGATTCCAGGTAGATGTCTTGCTGACACCTTGGGTATGGCCTGTGTCTTAGTCTTAATGGTTCCATGCTAGTTACATAAGCGCTGTTGCCGCCAGCGAAAATCAAGCAACTGAAAAGTAAGTGTAAAGTAGAGGTCAATGCAAACTAGATTCTAGATGTGTCAAGTTAGAGTACAGTGTACAGTCGGACCAAATATGGTAATGCAGCATGGCCTGGTTTGCTACTACGATCTTGTAGTCTGCGCTGGTATGCGCATCTTCTCTCTTAGTAGGGTAACTTACTTAGGGTTTTGTCTTGATGTCATCTCTCCGTCATTCGCAGTTGGGCCGGCTCTTCGTCAAATGCCTTGCCCGGATTGTGTGCCGAAACCCATGATCCAAGATTCCCGTGGGGTGGTTGCGCCCCTCCCCTGCGATCATGAAGCAAATATATCAATCCGTCAACAGCTGCGGTGAGGAGCTTGCACACTTCTTGTGATGTTGTCGGGGTCCTTATTCATTGCGGTCTCGCTTTGAACCTTAAGCATATCGGCTTCAGCAACAGCATGATCTTATTGAGGGTTCCGTATGGCAATAGCCCCCCCCCAAACAAAAATCCTAATCCCTTCGTTTTGAAAGCCTGAACCCTATAAACCCTCGACCCTGACCCAGACGAGTGCAACAGGGGTAGTCCTATCGGCAGCGGCAGAGATTCCCAAATAGCTAGATCTTGAAATTGAAAGAGTCATCCCTGCTTGACTTGACAAGTGACCTTTCTTTGATGGTGACTAGATTAGGTTGCTGTCTTCTGAATGTGTGAATTGCTCCAGCTTTCTGTAGTGTCACCAAGCCCAAGCCGAATGTCGACACATGCATCGCCTGGACTGTCCGAGTTGCGAGCGCCGGAGCCTAAAGCCCCAAACCCCAGGCAGCACACCCCTATCACACCATTAGTACGAGCAGGATTATTACTGCTATTTTATTCTGCAGGCCAATGCTTCGCCGGACTCCCCAACACAAAATGGCGCCTCGCCACTGTACTTCGCGGCCAGGCGGGGTAGCCTGGAGGCCCGTGAGTCTGCTTGGGGGCATGAGAAATTTATGGTTTAGGATTCGGGGTTTAGGGTTTTGGGGTTTAGGGGTTAGCCCTTCCATCAGGCTTGACGTATCGAATGCCTGGGAGAGAGAGAGAGAGAGAGAGAGGGAGGGGTTTTAGGGTTTAGGATTCGGGGTTTATTTAGGGTTTTGGGATTTAGGGGTTTTAGGGTTTAGGATTCGGGGTTTAGGGTTTAGGGTTTAGGGGTTTAGGGGTTTTAGGGTTTAGGATTCGGGGTTCAAGGGCCCAGCATTCCTGAATGATAGGGGGCTTCAGGATTTCAATGCCTCCCAGATGAGCGGCCCACAGGTAAGCATGAAGTGCCTGCAAACACGAATAGGCAACAACATAGGCAACAAGCTCATATCTGCAATGGTCAGGTTGGGCATGACTCATTTAAGTGCAATTTGGGAGACCCAATTAGGTGGACGCAGCCAAAAACAAAATAATCGCACACCTTCCAGACGGCACCCCGGGAGAGCGCCCACAGGTGTCTGACGAAGTACTCCCAGAACTTCAGTCAAACACATGTTCGGCGTAAATGTTTCTATTACCGCTGCAGATGTTCTGTTTCTTTGGGGGTCCAGCGTAGGTTGTTTAGACAGTGATGATGAGTTACAAAAGAAGAAAGAAGAAAACTCTGGGGGCGAGCCAAGCAGCCAGCAAGGGAACTCTTTCGAAGTTCCGACTTGCCGAAGCTCAAGTGGGTTTGGGGTTGTCTCACCAAACACAAGAAGCAACACAACATTGCCAAACAGAGCAATCGATGGTGCCATGACAGGGAGCCAGCAGGAAGTCCGAATTTCGCAGTTTGCATTTACTGCACAGCAGGCGGTATAGTGGAAAGTGCGTCGTTAACCCAAAAAATGCTAGGTCATGTCTTGTAAAGGCCAACCGCGAAATTCGTGTGCAGCGAGCTTGAACATTAGAGGTTTAGACAAACAGCATAAAATTGAGATGATCGTTGATATTATGCAAAAAACAAACTTGACATGATGTTGGTAAGCGAAACGAATGTAAATGTAAGTTGTTACGGACATTGGAATGGATATGAGTTTTTTTTAGTTCCGATGCTGACCCGAAAGTTCGGGAAACTGAAATTGAGAAATTAAGAAAAGAGAGGCAAGCAACTGAAAAGGAAGAGGGCCAAGCGACGGTGATGCTGCTAGCGCAAGATTTCTGGAATGCAGGAGTGGCAATTGTGGTAAAAACTAGTACACATGATACAGAAACCAAAGAGGCGTTTTATGACACACTTTCAGATGAAGTATCGCGAACCCCAGGAATTTATTACGTGGGTGGGGACTTCAACGCACGTATCCACCATGTTAGAGAATAAAGAAGTATGCCGGCCATATATCTTGGGTAGAGGTTTGGACTGTTTGAATGCTATGAACGACTCAACTAAAGAAAACAGATAGCTTGTTCTAGGTTTTGACATAATCCAAGGTCATGAACAGTTTCTTTCGTAAGCGTGCAGAAAAAGTGACTACCTGGAAGTGCAAACCGCTAGATAACGGGCCCCTGAAATACGCTCGAATAGATTTCTGGCTGGCGGGAGATGGTTGGAAAAATACGGTCCAAGACCTACAAAGCAGAAAAGATTTAATTGAGACCGAAACTATTTCGCAACTGATCCAATCGCACTGAAAGGACTTACATGAGCCATGCAAGAACCTGCCGACAAATTCCTGGAAAGAATACCACAGAATAGGAAACTTGCAAGGCCAAAGGATTTTGGCATAAGTTAGTTCGGGCACTTGAACCTTCGGTCTTGCAATCTGCGATTTCTTTTGTGTTTAACCACCGGTTTGTGGAAAGCTAGAAAGGTGCCAGAGGAGTTGTTTATGGTTAGAGTGGCCACGGTATTCAAGAAGGGTGCCACTGATGCTGCAGCCAATTGTAGACCTATATCCCTGTTCAACAACGCCTAAACGATAGATAGATAGATAGATAGATAGATACATATATATATATATTTATTTACATATATATATATACACATGATGATGATGATGATGACGATGATGATGATGATGATCAGGTCCCGGATGCATGCAGCAGTCTCCCACCAAATTACGAAAACTCAGTATGGATTTCGTCCTAGGATGTCATACCTAGACGTATCCAAGATTATGCTGCAAGCAAATCTTCCAAATTGAGTCCGGCGGACCCTCTGGATCCAACGGGAGAGAGAGAGAGAGAGAGAGACTGGTAGACTGGGAAAAGGCTGTCGATAAGATACAACATGACAAGCTCATACTCGCGTTAGAAAGATTAGGCTTCCTTTCCCAATATCTAGATTGTTCCAGTCACGACATGCATTGACCTTGACATCCAAATCTATATTGGCCAGGAGGTGAGTGCAATGTCATTCCTAAAGTCGTTTTTGATCTAGTTTACTATGCTGATGACGCCATCCTCTTCTCACGATCAAACAGGGGGCCAAACCCACTCTTGAGTCTCACCGAGAGAATCTCGCAACAATGTGGGTTGAAATTAGATCGGTCTAAGTGCTTGGCTGTTCGGATGAGTAATGATGGTATGTACAGGAAATGTTCATGTCTATGATGGCACTGTGTACTCACAAAGAATCATGAAGCCACGTGCCTGGGAAATAAAATAAACAGGGATGTTAACATTGATCCTGGTATCTTGAACAAGATGCAAGAAGTTCGCTGCACATGGCTTAAGCTGAATGCGTATTGGCAGGCAACCAGAGCTACAAAGAGATGGAAAATCATTGTGTATGATCGTCGTAAGCTACTTTATGGATAAGAGACAATTCGTCTTACACGTTCTTTCGTGAAGAGGCTGGATGCCTTTCAATAGCGGGGCTTGAGAAAGATTCTAAGTATGACTTCGAGTTATATCAGCCGCACACTAAGACTAATCAAAGTCTTCTTGCAGCAGCATCCGTTGCAGTATTCCCAGGTCCGTAGATATCGCGAAGAGCGCTGGGCGAAATTTCTTGGCCATTTCTTACGCAGTTCCGATGTAGACTCGTTGAGGCAAGCTTCGTTTACACCAAGTTCTGCCAGCGGCATAGACTATGGAAAGAAGAGAGTAGGCTGGCCAAGACCAAGTTGGGTCATGTTCAGCCAGAAGTATGTTTTTGAATGCAGGCTACAAGTGCCCAGCTATACAGAAACTGCTGAGCAAGACCAGAGGGTATATGATGCAGCATTGCAAAGGCAATTTTCATACCAAGGTTTTGATTGATCCGTGCCCGTGCTGCGGCAACGCCTTGCTTTTTGAACACTCGCAACAGTCACAGCAGGGTAGGGCTGAGAAACAAAATTCTCACTTTTCTTGACTTCGAATCATTCTCATTGTTTATGTAGCGTTGCAACATTTCGTACTGCAGCGCTGCATTCTTCACTTTTAGACTGTGGAGCATGCTAGCAAGGCTTGTTCCATGGACTCGGGGGCTGTGGGGTTAGGGAGCTGAATCGGAATCGCTGCGGTGCGAGTGCAACATGAAGGTCGCCAAGGCACTTGTCGAGTTCGGAGCAGCCAAGGCGCCGCAGCACAGAGCTTGAGGGGTTTGAGGGTTTAGCAACAGCGGAGGGAGGATCAAAGCCAGCCTTAAAGAGACTCAACAAGCTGCTTCAGTCCGTTTCGCCTTTGCCTCATCTTGTACAGACATTCGACCCTGCCCTTCAGGCAGGCTTGACATTTCGAATGCCGGGGAGAGAGAGAGGATTTACGGGTCTTCGGGTTTGTCTTTAAGAGTTCATTCATGTTGTTTTTCAGTCGGCAGTGACTTGGTGCTAGGGTGACCCAAATCACCAGGTCCCTTGGTACCAGCATCCTGCGCTCATCCCGCAAGGGCGGTCCCTGCTCTCCCCTTAGCACTCTGAAATGGCAACCTTCTTGTACGAAAACCTTCAGGACACGATCGCATGTACGCGTTAGCCTGGCCTTGGCACTTTTAATTGGCAAGCTCTTGTATTGTTTGATATTGTTTGAAAACCTGCAGGACCAAACCACGCGTATGGGGATCACGCCACTTTTCGTGGCGGCCTACTTTGGCAGATTCCACGTGGCCCAGTTCTTGGTACAGGCCTTTTCTAGCAGAGCTTGTACTTCCTTTTGTCAGACCGGGCTTGCGATTGGTGAAGATTGTATTGTGAACCACAACGCTAAACCGTAAGATAGGAGGCACCACGCCGGGATGAGTGCGTATGCAAAGCGATAGACCCCGTCTCTACGTATGCATGTATGTATGTATGTATGTATGTATGTATGTACTGTGCGTATGTACTTATGTATGTATGTATGTATGTATGTATGTATGTATGTATGTTTGTATGCATTAATGCAATACAATGTAATGTAATGTAATCTAATCTAATCTAATCTAATC